CATCTGAATGTAAGCCTCCAATAACTAATGGAGAGAGTAACTTGATTCTTATGACAAGATTACCTTGAACAAAGGTTTTATTCAAAGATGTTAGAATTCTATAACTCTTATTTCAGTTGTGCCAATATGATTAACAGCTGTAACTTTTGAAGTGCTGTGATATAACATTTGTTCCATTTTTCCATCACTTGCATTTACCCATAACAAGCTTCATGTTGTGTCTTTTTAAACCTTTTGTTTTGCTTAGGGCTGTAATGGAGCAGGATAAAGAGAAGTTGGAGAAAGATAAATTTGAAATTGAAATGAAGCTGTCCCAGTCTTTGAAAGAACTCAGGTATTTCTTAGACTGCTAACGCATAATTAGCAAATTACTTTGTCACTTAAAATCAGAGAATTTTTCATATCTTTTAAAACTGCGATTTGAAATTAAAAGTAAATATAATTTGTCAGTACTGGGTTTGGTCTACTAAAGAAGAAGAGGTTTTAATGAATGCAGAGAAGTGATTTGGTTATGTGTATTCAAAACTTTCTAATTTTGCACAAGTTTTAAGACCAAAGGAAGAAGGATTATTGGATTGTATTGGAAAAGGTTCGGCTGAAAACACTGTGTCAAATGGCTCTATCTCTATACCCGAGTTTATCCTTCTAAGGAATAAGAAAAACGACCTAAATTTGCTAAGAATTTGCCTAAATGCAAAAAAAACACTGATTTTTGTGACTGAGTTTCTCACTCACTCTTGAACTTTCTGCATTCTGTTCCTCTACATGTTTACTTGAGGTGTGAAATGAATTAATTTGCTAGTTTTAGCTGATTTATATTTGCATTTTTCTCTGTTTAATTGTATGCTGCGTACATTGGTTCCATTGATGTCAATATCCATCTGGTACAAACCCAATTGAGTCGTAAAATGGCGTCAGCAACTGTACCTCAAGCAGGTGTTACTGGACAGTGATCTAGATGAAATTCTTGCTGGATTCCAAATTTTTGCAACCTTTGTTTTCTCTTTCATCCTTGCACTTAATCTCTCTTTCCATTTAATCAAATTGACAAGAAAGGAAAAATTGGCAACTATGCTCCTGCCACAAATAGGCTCAGTATTCCGAACAAGTGCCAAAAATGTGCCTAACCTTGCTTCTGTACAGACTGGGAATCAGTCTTGCCTATGTACCTTCAGAGCTCCCACTCTTTTAACTAAAAGTCGATAACCTATGAATTGTCTCATCTATGTAAAATATTAATATCTAAGCCAATATTAAATGTCTTTAAAATTTGGTAACAATTTGTATTTAACCAAATTCTATCAAGTGAGGTTCAGTCAAAAATAAATTATTTTCTCATTGTCTTACCAACATGTTAGAACATGTAAATTAAGTATTGAATTTTTATAAAAATGTTAATGCGCATTCAGTGAGATTGTTATAGAATGGACTGGAAATATTATAGTTTTGTCTTCTATGTGGAATTACTTGTATAAAAGAAAAATTGTTGCTGTATTGGAATGTCTTTTTTTTATTCAGTGAGATAAAAGTGCAACTTGAAAGCTCTAAAGAAGAAATCGGTCAATCAGAGGATCAGCTTGTTCAGAAAGAAAAGGAAATACTAAATCTCAAAAACTGTCTGAAACAGAATGAGGAGTCTTATTGTGAACAGATAAAAGAAATTAATGGAAAATATCAGCTACTTGAACAGGAGAAAGGTAATGTTACTAAAGAATGACCAATGCCTGAAATATTGAAGGTAATCTGTCTTCACATCTACATTTCTTCTTTCTCTGGGCACGTCATGAACTCTGACTAAATTACATTCTAATTGTTCATTTGGTTAAAATTACTGTAGAAACCTTCCCAAATTGATAAACCAGGTGCTACCAAAAAATTAGTAATTTTTTAGTTGATCTGTGGCAATTGCATTTTATCTGCCTTTTTGGATATTTTGAGCATGTAATGGAGATTGAGCCACATTGTATCCAAGTATGAGAATTGCAAGGAGTTGCAAGAAGAATTGGGTTGTGTTTCTGATTTCTGAAAAAGTTTGTATAGACACTGCACATTGCCACTTGTCGATGCTCGGAGTATCCTTTTAATTTGGTTAAATGCAAGTGTTTTTTTTGTTCTCTGCCCTCAATGAACTGGTGCTGCTCTACTCCATGATTTCAACTGGAATTTAGTTTATGGGTTTACACAAGGTGAAGTATTAAAACTATGTGCCATTGAGAGTTGTTGGCTGAAGAGTGAGAGGGGAGTTTTAAAAAAAAATAGTCTCATATATTGCAGGTCAGTCTAAATACCTGGAACATGCTTTGTTGTTCAGTGTTAACAAAGAATAGTACATGAGCTCCATTTTACTGTGGGGATTGCCATTTGTTTCTCATCACAAGGACAGTATTTACGTTTCTGTAACTATTATTTGGCAATACGTATTTTATAAATAAGTAATTACCATGGCATTTTGTTTCCTGCTATTAATACTTTTTTCTTTCTATAGAAAAAGCAGAGGCAGAATGTAACAGGTTGGAGCAAAATTCAACTAGGGAGTTGGCGATAATGAAAGAAAAATTGAATGAGATGGAACAAGATCTGCAGCAGAAACAAGATGAGCTTTCCTCTGTCAAACAGGAAAAGGTAATAGTTTTCGAAAATTAGTCTGGCTGCACTTGCTTTCTAATATACCTTATGATATATCACGCTGAAGTCCTGCATCGATAATCATTCACATTGGTACACTCTCGTCTTGCTTAGGTTTATATTCAGTTCATTTTTACTTTCTATAGAATGAAGTCAGTGTGGTGCCACTTGGGTGAGAGTGAAGGAACTTTAAGTCATTATGTGATATTGATTCTCATTCTTGTGAAGGTAGGAGAGGTGCAGGTATCAAACTGGTAAAGGTGAGTAGAATTGGCTTTCTCTGTTATATGAGAAGGGATGCACTGGCTTGGTGGTGATATCCCTAGACTGTTAATCCAGAAACTCAGGTAACCTGCGTTGGAATCGTGATGTGGCAGATGGTGGAATTTTAATTGAATAAAAATCTGGAATTAAGAGTTAATGACCAATTGACCCATTGTCGGGAAAAAAAGTCTGGTTCACTTGTGCCCTTTTAGGGAAGGAAGCTGTCATCCTTACCTGGTCTGGCCTACATGTGACTCCAAATCCACAACAATGTGGTTGACTCTAAACATGCCCTTTAAAATATCTGAGTGAACCATTAAGTTGTAAGAATTGCTGCAAAGTCTTAAAAGAAGAAATAAAACTGGACACACTATTTGGCATCAACCTAGGCACTGGAAATGACAACGGCAAAAAGAGTCCTGTTGACTCAGCAAAGCCTTTTCAGACTTTGAACATATCTGAGAAGTACCAAAATTGGGAGAGCTGTTTCACAGACTAGTCAAACGACAGATTGTCTGTAATCTGTAAGGTATTTTTTCTGAGTATGACAATGTTCCAGACACTGCCATCACCATCCATAGATCTGTCTTGTCCCACTGGCAGGACAGTACCAGCAGATATGAGAGCACAGTGACGTACAGTGGAGATGGTGTTGCTCTGGGTGTCCTCAACATTGAGGTCAGACACCATGAAATTGGTTTTATTCACTCGTGGAATTTGGTTGTCACTGGCTGGGCCAGTCTCCTGGCACTAAGTCAAAGGTGGGCAAGGAAATCTAATTACAATGAAATGTCCTCCCTCAGCTAATGGATCAGTGCTTCTCTATGTTTAACCACACTTGGAGGAAGAGTTAAGAATATACTTGACCTCATCCTCACCAATTTGCCTGCTGCAGATGCATCTGTCCATCTTAGTATTGTAAGAATGACTAAATCCCGCCTTTGTTTTGGGAATATCTTCCGTCATGTTTTGTGCCACCATCACCAGGCTAAATGGGACAGATTTTGAACATATCTAACTACTGAAGTTTGGACATCCATGAAGCTATCAGCAGCAGAATCATTCTCCTACAGAATCTGATATATCCTCTGCTCTACCATTACCATCAAACCAGGGTATTAACACTAGTTCAGTGAAGAGTGACAGGGGCATGCCAGGACCAGCTCCAGGCATACCTACAAATGAGCAATCGACCTGGTGAAGATTTCAGTACTGGTCAACTTGTGTGCCAAACAGCATAAGCAGCAAGTGATGGACAGAACTAAAAAAACCAGCAGATCAGATCTAAACTCTGCAGTCCTGCTGTATCCAGTCATGAATGGTGGTGGGCAATTAAGCAACCTACTAGAGGAGGAGACTTCAGAAGTATCTCCGTGCTCAACGAATCAGGAGCTCAGCACATCAGTGCAAAATGTAATGCTGAGAGTGATTCTGCTGCTGAAAGCTTCATGGATGCTCAAACGTGAGTAGCTAGATATGTTCAAAGTCTGTCTCATTAGCCTGGTAACTGTGGCACACAACATGATGGAAGGTATTACCGATGCAGAGGCAGGATTTAGTCATTCTTACGATACAATCATGGATAGATGCATCTGCAGCAGGCAATTTTCAGCCTGAACAAAAAAAATAATGCAAAGAGGGAGAGGTTGTTTACACATGGAGCTTGTGGAATGAGGCCTGTTCATGTGTTTGTTTGATGGCTCTGGCGAGAGTTATTTTTAATGTTTATTCGGAGATTTGAAAAATGACTGATTAGAGGACTTGAGAAAGGAGGTTTTTTTAGGCTGATGAGAGTTTCAGCTATGTGCTTGATTCTTTTAAGATTTTGAATGTTTTAGCTTTTTTATCTTTTGCACGCTTAAGATTAAAATCTGTGGGTAAGGAAGGGTCACTTATTTATAAAGTGCTTTTAAGAACTGCTCCTTATTGGGCTCAATGTCACTGAAGACATTCAAGAGATAGAGTGTGAAGTGGTTAGATTTAGAGAGGTGGTTACACAGCAGGATCAGTCGGATAGACGGGTGGCTGTCAGGAAAGGTAAGAAGGTAGTTCAACTTGATCCGTGTGATATCGAGGAACAGTTGGAGGCATTGGATACTGCAAAGGCTATGGGTCCTGACAACTTGCCAGCAATGGTACTGAAAACTTGTGCTCCATATTTGCTGCACCCCTAACCAAACTGTGGCAGTACATACTGGCAACTACTATACTGGCATCTACCAACAGTGTGGAAAATTGCCCAGGCATATTCTGTACGCACATAGCAGGACAAATCCAACCTGGCCAATTACTGCCCCAACAGTTTACTCGCGATCGTCAGTAAAGTGATGGAAGACATCATCAATGCTGCTAGCAAACAGCACTTACTCAGAATAACATGCTCACTGACAATCAGTTTTGGTTCTGCTGGGGCCACTCAGCTCCTGACCTCATTACAGCCTCAGCGCAAACAAGGACAAAAGAGTTGAATTCCAGAGGTGAGAGTGACAGCCCTTGGCATCAAGGCCACATTCAACTGAGTGTGGCACCATGTGTCCTAACAAAACTAATGCCAAAAGGAATTGGGGAAAGCCCTCTAATAGTTGGAATGATACCTGGCATTGAAGAAAATGGTTGTGGTTGCTGGTCATTAGTCATTTCTGTTCTATCTCTGCTGGAGTTCCTCATCGTAGTGTCCAAGGCCCAACCGTTTTCAGGTGATTCATCAATGAACACCCCCACCCCGCCACCCTAAAATAAGGTCGAAAAGTGGAGATGTTTGCTGATTGTACAAAGTTCAGCACCATATGCGTCTCAGTTACTGAAGCAGTCTATGCTCAAGTGTTGCATCTGGACAATATCCAGATTTGGGGTAAGACGTGCTGAGTAGAGTTGTACAGCATGGAAGTAGACCCTTCAGTCCAACTCGTCCATGCCGAGCAGATATCCTAAATTAATCTAGTCCCATTTGCCAGCATTTGGCCCATGTCCCTCAAAACCCTTCCTATTCATGTACCCATCCAGATACCTTTCAAGTGGTGCAATTGTACCAGCCTCCTCCACTTCCTGTATCAACTTATTCCATACATGCACCACCCTCTACATGAAAAAGTTGCCTTTTAGGTCCCTTTTATATTTTTTCCCTCTCACCTTAAACCTATTCCCTCTAGTTTTATATACACACACAGAAACACACACACAATCCCCCACCTCCACCCCACCCACCCTTGGCTATTCATCTATCCACGCCCCTCATTCCTGGTAACTCCCAGTGTGGAAGTAACACCACACAAATGCCAAGCAATTATAATCTCCAGCATGAGAGATTTTAATCAATGCCCCTTGACATTCAATGGCATTGCTATCACTGAATCTCCCAGGTCAACATCTGGTGGTCACCATTTAACAGCAACTGAACTGGACTTGCCATATAAATACAGTGGTTACAAGAGCAGGTCGGAGGCTAGAAATCAAGTGTGTTGCTTTGTCCTACAAGATGCCAAGTTTCTTCAGTGTTGTTGAAGCTGCACTTGTCAGGCATACAGGTGATGTGACACATCCCCAGGTGCTCAAAGAGCAGGGATTCCTCCACAGTATTCTGTTGACTATTTGTTAAAGTGTTTGGTGTGATCATTATCTCATTGTTATTTTGAGATCTGCTGTGTCAACCTCATTTCCTAATACAACAGTAACACATTACAGCCACTTCATTGGCTGTAAAACACATTTTAGGTCATCCTGAGGTTGTGAAAAATGCAGTAGAAACTCAAGTCCTTTTATTGTCACTGTTCTGACCAATGAACTTAATTGTTTTTGTTATTGGATTACTTGTTTCACAATTCATTGGGAATGAGACTTGCAATGGGAAAAATATATTTTGAGAAAGTGACTGCTGTAGTGGTGTACCCCAGACTCTAATTTGATGTGTGCTGGCTGTAACCTATGACATCTGCTTGGTAGCTTAGACGCTCCTAACCTAGATGCTATCAGAGATGAATCCACAGCACAAAGCAGTTATTAGCCTTGCAGCCCACAGTATTGATTGATTTATTGTTGTCAAAAGTACCAACAGACAGTAAAAATGTTGTTTTGCGCGCTGTGCAGGTAGATTATACCATACAAAGTGCATCAGGGTTGCAGAAGAGTGCAAAATACATATTACAGCCACAGAATGTGCAGAAAGAGAGAAAGAAAGATCAGAATTAACATTTGAGAGATCCATTCAAAAGTTTGATAACAGCAGGGATGAAGCTGTGCTTGAATCTGTTCATATGTGTATTCAAGCTTTTATACCTTCCGACAAAGGAGAGCTGGACGAGTCTTTGATTATGTTAGTTGCTTTACCGGGGCAGCGAGAAAGATAGATCGAGTCAATGGATGGGAGGCTGGTTTGGTGACGAACTGGGCTGTGTTCATGACTCTCTGTGGTTTCTTGTGGTCATGGGAAGAGCAGTTGCTATACCATGCCATGATACATCCAGATAGGATGTTTTCTGTGCCACACCTATAAAAATTTGTAAGAGCCTTTGTTTACATCCCAAATTTCCTTAGCTTCCGGACGAAGCAGAGACATTGTTGTGCCTTCTCTTTTAAACAGAATAGAGAGAAGCATCCACTCACTGGGACCATATGATATCTATTCTTCAGAAGAGCCTTCTGACTGTTTGATGCTGACTTTTGTAATATAATGTGCTTAGTGGTACAGATTCCTCAAATGTTAGTTTCTTAGGTGGCTGCTGTGACTTGGGTGGCAAAGCATGACTGAAGTAACTTGAAATTTTGAATAGGTGCCTTACCAAAAGTGGTTCCCGTACCACAGTGCCTCCAAGTATAAAATTTATATCTGGCAGACTATGCCTGCATAATCTTCCATACATCTTTTAAATTTGGATCCTAAAAGCACTGGGTGACCCCAGAGCCCAAGGAATGCAGTGGTTCAAGAAGGCAGCTCACCATTACAATCTCCAGAATATTTGGGGATAGGCAATAAATAGCTGGCTAGTGACACTGCCATCTCTGAACAAAGTTTGAAAAGGCAATTGCTAGAAACTGCGGGGAAATTTTCTATAACTCTTTCACTTAAAGTAGTTAATTATCAATGGATTGATAAATCAATGTTTCATAAATATTTTTGCTCCGATATGCTTAATGCTTAAAAACTGATCTGTCCCTTTCTCTAGGAACTGTCTGACTCTTTGCAGCAGAGGTTCGATATCTTCCGGGAAGAAATGACCAAAGAGAAGCTTTTGCTGGAGGAAGAGCTGGAGGCTGCATTAGATGAGCTTGAACAATTGCAGCTGAAGGAGGTGGAGGCTGAGGAGTTGGCCAAACGTCTAGAGGATGAGAATGAACTGAGAGCAAGAAAGTTTGCTGGACTACAGGAAGAGCTTGCGGAGTCAGTTTACTTGTTATCTCATTCCCCACTGATTTAAAGGGAAATTTGGGTTTAGGGTGAAACTTGGAAATTAGCAGTACTTCAAAGGACCTAGATCCCTTGACCATTTTATAAGAGAGAAATTTGGTGACCAATATATTCTTGGATTGGCTATATGCCCCTCATAGTGTTCTTTTATGCCCATACCTGAGGTTTGTCTAATTCTTGAACTTGCCAACTGAATGCGATTTCAGTTCACTTTCTGTTCATTTAGGCTTCCTTGTTCAATACCATCCTATTCCATTAAGATGGAATTTTCCTGATCAGGTGATCTGTTACATTGGTAGTCTGCAAGGTGATGCTGCCATTGTAGGGTTTCAGTGCTTGGGACATCACAATTAAATTGGGGTATTCAATGTCCTGTTACAGCTGCTAATGTTTTAAGAGGTGTGGGGTTGGGTAGAGTTATTAGTAGCACAAAGGTACCCAACATACTAGTGAAGTTGAGTTGTCAGCTCTAGTTGGAGATATTCCTGGATGTTTGCTGAGATGTTCTAACCGCATGATACTTAATCATGTGGCATCCTATCTTGTGACCTTTACAAATGTTTGATTTTATATTCTGCTTCTCTTACCCTGTAATTAAGAATCTATTCATAGTTTTACACCAGCAAAAGTGAGAAGTTCCAACAACCATGGAATCAGTCATGAATGGGATAAAAAAGAAGTTATTCTCATAATCTATTTGCACCATACACCATCTCCTCGTTTATCTTTGTTACTCCGCCCCATCTGTAGCTCTCTCTAGTGCTCTGTTTTGCTTGTCTGTGAAAAACCTATGATAGTGTAGGGGAAGTATTCAGTCTCAGAAACAGAGAGCAGTATTTAACACTCTGCATGTTGGAAAGTGTGATGTTCATAGCATAAGGTCTTGTTTTCACCTTCTGCCATGCACTCAACTGCATGTATTGTGTATTGAACGGTAAACGGATGGTGTACTAAAAGCTATCTGTAATTTGTGGATGTTTGTACATTAAAGGTGAGTTTATCTTGTATAATGTGAATCATTTGGACTTTTTTGGGGTGGTCGTTGCTCAGGTTATGATTTGCGGCTTGAGTTTCTTCCCTTCTATCAAAGATTATGCAAAGTAAATGCTTCCACTGATTTTGTTGGCATGGTTGTCTTGATGCTATAAATAGCCTTTTATTTAAAAGTTAAAATCACTACAGTGAACACCTTTTCATGTAATGACTAGAAACTTGCCCCTTTACCTATTAGTATCCAAACAACCTTTCAACCATAACAAAAATCGAAATTGTTGGAGGAACTCAGCAGGTCTGGCAGCATCTGTGGAGAGAAAGCAGAGTCATTGTTTCAGGTCCAGTGACCCTTGTTCAGAACTGGTTTCCCCATGTTTGACAGCAGTAAAGACTTGCTAGCTGCAATATGAAGTTAATTTTGGGTGAAAAAGTTTTTCGTCAAATCCCCTCTAAACCTTTTGCCTTTCACTTCAAAATTATGCTCCCTTGTTATTGACCCTTTGACTAAGGGGACCAGCTACTTCTGCTCATCCTGCCCGTGCCCCTCTTAATCTTTTACATCTCTATCAGGTTTCTTCCCCCACCCGTCCTTTTATGCTTCAAAGAAAACAACTCAAGCTTATCCATTCTGTCTTCGTAGCTCCATTCCAGGCAGCATCCTGGTGAATCTCCTTTGCACCCTCTCCAGTATATTCACATCCTTCCTATAATGTGGTGACCAGAACCAGCATAAACGATCCAATATTTAGAGCTGTGTCTAGTTTGACGTTTCTTTTTCTCTCTTTAAAGGAAAAATGCTGAACTGGAGAAGGTTAATGAAAATCACAGCAAAATTGTCAGTCAGTTACATGAGGACCAGAGTAAATCACTAAGAAAGCTGGGAGATATTGAAGCAGAATTTGAAAGGTAAGAGAGTATATGAACATGTATTATGTACACCAAGCAGATGTTCATTCTTGATTGGTACTTGATTGCATCCTGCAATTTATTCAGCAACTTTTCTGTGCTGTCATGGTATTTGAATGTGACATTGATTCCTTGCATAAAAGTTTTTTTTTAAGCAGCCACAGCAGGATCTTGTTCATTTAAAACTTTTTTCTTCTCTCCATGTGATGAAGATCCCAATGAGTTTTATTTTGTGGTTTGTTGGGAAGTGTAGAATCATACAGTACAAAAGAGACCCTTTGAACTATCAAGTTTGTACTGCTGGTAATACACTGCTGTCCACCTAGTCCCACTTTCCAGGAGTAATCTGTTAGCCTTGAATGTTATGACAGAATGTTTTCGGCCTTAACTACCTTCCCAGGCAGTACATTGCAGACACTCACCACCCTCCAAGTGAAAACGATTTTCCTCAAATGCCATCTTAAAACCCTGCTTTTCAGTTCAAATTTATGTGTTTGTTTCTTTGACTAAGGGGAACAGCTGCCCAAGCCTCTCATAATCTTCAACATCTCTGCCTGGCATACTCACCACCTCCCCCCTCCTCCCCAAAAAAAACCTCGCCCGTCTCCCTTGACCTTCTCTACTCTAAAGAAAACAACCTGAGCCAATCCAGCCTCTCTTCATTGCTGACATTCTCCATCCCGGGCAACATCCTGGTGAATCTCCCTTGCACCTCTTCCAGTGAAATCACGTCCTTCCTATAATATGACGGGAACTACACACAGTACTCCAGCTATGGATGTAAAGTTGCAACATGACCTCCCTGCTCTTACAATCTATGCCATGACTGATCAAGGCAAGTGTCCTATCTGCTGCCATAATGACCTTTATTAACTTGACCTGCCACGTGCAGAGATTTGTGCACAAGCACCCCAAGATCCCTCTGTTCCTCTGAGCTTCTTATTGTCCTGTTATTCATTCAGCACTCCCTTGTCTTGTTCCTTCTTCCAAAGTGAATTATAGTGTGTTGAGATGCATTGTACAGTTTGCAACTGGTGAAGTTTTCTATTGAGGAATACTAATTTTCTGTAACATTTGTTCAGCTACAAATCGTCTGTAACGAAAGAGGTGGGGTGCCTCCAGGAGAACAACACTGCACTGACAAAGCAAGTTGCACAGTTACTCTATGAAATCAAGGACAAGCAGCAGCAGTTAGCAGAAGTTCAGCTTTCTAAAGAAAAAGCAAAAGAAGAATATGCAAGGTATACAGTTCAATATTGCCATCACAATATTAATTTAGGCCCCATTGGTGAAACGCTTAAATTTTAACCTGCCATGTATACTCTGGTATTTGTGCAATGGGCCCATTGATACCTACAAATCCCAACTGAGCTTGTGTAACTTTTACACAGCATAATTTAGTTGGATATTATTTAATAAATATTGCCATGCATTGCGCTTCTTAATGTTATGGGCATGCTTGATCTGAAAATGTGGCTTATCCCTCTCTTCATGCACCCATACTTCAGAAAACCAAAATAGCTTCTTAACAAATCAGATTGCTAGGCATTCTTTTCTGTGTTGCTACGCTTTATGTAGCAAGTGTAAGTGAGCTTTTGTTTTTTTGTGTAAGCTCTTACTTATTGACTTGTGACTTTAATTGTTCATTTGCACCATTTAACAGAAGTTATCATGTAAATCTGGAGTTGGGCCCTGACTTTACTTCACAACAAAGGTATATTTGTTTGGTAGGTATGGGGAGTACAGTTAGCTGTTTGAGTAGTGAACTCCAGATGGTGAATAGTTTGGGTGATGTATGCACGATATTGAAGAATTAATTTAGAAAACAGTTTTTAAAGTGTCTAATCTATTGCAATGCAAAGAGTTTCCATTTTATCTGCTTTATAGAACAGAATGTCCAGCTACCAGCTTTCAATGGTCCTTCTCAGTCACTGCAAAACTAAATTAATGAAAGTGGAATTCCTTTTTCTGTTCCCCTTCTCCAAAGAATGCTACTGGAAGCACAAACAAAGCTAGCTCAGAAGGAAGTTGAAGTTAGAAAGTTGGAAGAAACTTGTAACCTGAGAGTAAATGAACTTCAAGCACAATTGGAACAAAGCAAGATGTGTCAGGAGGTGGAGAAACAGAGGTACAAATAGAATGTTCAATTAATTTTGCAATGTGTGGCTGATCCTCTTGGTTTTGAAAGTATCTAGTGGTTGGGTTGTATCTCCGATCAGTTCTGTGATTCCAGTATTGTTTATTTGGTCTTCAAATTGAGCATTGTAATTGGGAGAAGGGGGTGGTCAATTAATGTGCTTGTTCATCTTCTGATTTTCTTTACAAATTGGGCAAGCTTAATGAAGAGCGAAGTTGTATAGTGCAAGATTCCAAGGTTAAAAAGAATACGCTGAGACTATTCTGGGGTGCCCGTGTGTTAGAAAGGTTGAGAGGATGAACATTTATACGAAATGAGATGTAAAAATGATTTGCCAGATAGTTGGCTAGCTTGAATAAAATGATTTGTGGCCTGAACATATTCCCAACACTTTAGGAATGTTGGAAGTAGTACCTGCTAATGACCTGGTATTCCAAGACAGACATTCAGAAATTATTATTGTGGACAATAAAATCACCCAGCGAATGGATAGATGTTAATTTGGTACTGTAACTTGTGGGACCACACTACCAACATTGAATTGTACCTCACTTGGCTCTGGTCTATACTACTCGTTAAGCATAAATGATTCTGACCATAAAGAATTTCCATATTTCTGACGTAATAATTGAGATGGTGGCTTTTTACAACGGAGGAAATTGAATTTCACTCCTTTGCATGATTTTACTTATGTTGCCTACAGAATTTTCAATTGTTTAAAGTATGTGAATATCAAGTCTAAATTAAATATTTGAAAGTGAGAGCTTATACTTTCCTCCTAAACTTTAACTGGTGTCCATTGCTGTTGAATCCAGTCTTTGTGCAGGGCTTGAGAATTTTTTCTACTTGGCACGGCTGGTAAAAATGTAGGTGCTGTATTCCTCAGAGGTGTATTTGGTGGAAGCCTGGTTTATTATTGTGTTACCTCGAAGTAATTGGTTTCTTTTTATACAACTGAGAGGGTTAGCTGAACATGCAAGTTGTTCACCAAATGAATTTCTTGTTTCTGTCACAGCACTGATACTGTGGGTGAGGATGTGGTTACAGAACTTAAAGCTGAAATACAAAAATGGCAAGTGCTTTATGAAGAATTGCACAACAAGGTTAAACCTTTCCAGGTACATTCTCTCTAACTTTTGTTTTTGTGTTACGCATTTAGTGTTAATTTTTCCTTCTTCTAATTCAAAAGATACTATGCTATTGGGAAATACGTTTAATGTTGTTATTTAAATGACGCTATATAAATAAATGTCCCTATTAATTAGTAGAGTAGCTCATTTGTTCAACTGAAGTGTCTAGTGTTCAATCTATTCAGGAGTGCGCCACTTTTAGCAACTTCTCAGCTTTGGGTGATGGGCATCAGTGCCTGCTTGCTCATGTTGTGAAAGTTGCAAAGTTCCAAATTGTCATTTTGTTTTGACGTTGAGTGTAGAAATATGGCTTCTGCTTTAATTTGGTAAGTATGTAAATCTGCCCACTGTCTTGTGCTGTTGACTTGCAATGGGTTCCAAATTAGAGTCTGTTTGGACATCGGAACACAGTACAGGACAACTTAAGCAGCCATTCATCAGTACAGGAAATGTTTGTATGTTGGGACTTTAAAATTACACTCTGAATGAGATTGCATTTGTAAGTACTTGCATTCGTAAATCAGATGTTCATAATCTGAAACATCCCAGGAAGCTGTTGTGGGTTTGTTTTGTCTCTCGTTGTTTTGCACATCTTGTGGTTTGTTACATGGAAAACATATTCCTTTACTTAGATCTTAAATTCTCAACTCGCTTGATGTAAAATTGCTGGTGGACCTGATTAGTTTTTAAAACTATTTCATATGAATAGGAGCAACTTGACTCATTTGAAAAGGAAAAGAATTCCCTCCTCAATGAACATGGAGCTACGCAGGAAGAGCTGAATAAACTGAGTGAAGCTTACATCAAATTGCTTGGTCATCAAAACCAGAAACAGAAAATTAAGCATGTAATGAAGCTGAAGCAAGAAAATGTGGAGCTGAAGCAGGTATGCAGTTTTACCAGGTTGGTGGCAATGAATGATCGATGTAACCGGCGCTAAAATATTACTAATTTTATAGACTAATATTTCAAATTGGGACTGTCTCCATTCCTTCAACACCTACATGCAAAGGGGAGTGCATGTGCTGGTTTTAAATACCTTGAATTTTTCAGAACATACAGGATTTGGTCTGGCTTCTATCTGTGAATTTAAAGGAAATACTGTTCTGTAGCGTTGTGTTAACTGTGACCTCGTGATAGATACAGTTGGTATGGAAATATATGGGTGGTTTTATTTTGCAACAGATTACCACAGCAGTAAGTTAGGACCTCAAATGTATTTATTGCACAAGTTAGGAACTCACGGGATGCAGATAATGTGTTGGCATAGGATGATAATTGATTAACACAGAGAAGACAGAATCATGATTAATGAGTCTTTTTCAGGTTGGAAAATAACTTTTGGAATACCAAAATAATCAGCCCTTTAGCCTCAATTATGTATATTAATGGCTTAGAGGATTTCTGATCACCAATAGTGTACAGGTTTAGTGGTGATAAAACGCATTGAAGTGCTCGATCAGTCACCATCATACTGAATGGTTTCCTGCTGCTCCTATGTTCGAAGGAGGGGGCAGAGTGTAATGCATTAAAATTTGCTTACAGTGCAAAAATAGGTGACAGGGCATGTTGAGATGAAGAATCTGCGAAGGAATATAGATGAATTAAGTGAGTAGGCACACATTGATGAGTGAGTTTAGGAAGGAAGAGGTCGAAGAATTGGGGGGGAAAAGGTGAAGTTCAGAGGCTGTACATGTGCATGAAATACAAAATTAGCATGCAGGTACGGCAAATAGTTAAAAGACAAGTGATCTTTATTTCTAGGGGGACTGGAGTTTAAAAATAGGGAAATCTTATTATAGCTACAGAGGGTGTTGGTCCTGCCTGAAGTGCTGTGAACAGTTTTGCTCCTTGTAAGAGAGGATATGTTGGCGTTGGAGGCAGTTCAAAAGAGATGCTCTATGCTGATTCCTGGGATAAAAGGGTTTGTAGTGATTGTAATGTGGTTAGCCAGGTGGACCTCCTAGAATGAGTTCAGTCATTGGGACCATTGATCCGGTCCAATCAGGGAGTCCTGGCTGACAGATAAGAACAGGAATGTTAGACACCCTGTTCACGCTGATGGCTGGCTCTGAGGGAGCTGAATCAGTGTCAAGGACTCTCCAAGTGTAAAATGACTTGGTGATGGGATATCAGCCTCTGTGGAGTTATTTCAGGGTTAACTTCTTGAGAACAGCCAAAATGTTTAGGTTTTTATTCATTAGAATTTAGAAGAATGAGGGGTGATCTTATTGAAACATTCAAGATTCTAAGGGGAATTGACAGGGGAGAGGTTGAGAAAATGCTTCCATAAGAGCCCTTTATCGAGGAGACAATTTTTTAAAAAAAATATTTAACCTGTTTTTCTAATCCATTCATTCAGAGATGTTAGTACATACCTCTGGAGCAGGTAGCACTGCTGGTCCAGGGGACAATTATGGTGAAGAGATTTAATTGTCCTCAGCTGAGATCATCTCACTAGACACAAACCGGAAGATTCTCACTAGCTTGACCCTATGAGCAACAGTAGAGTGACTTGTTTGATAGCGTTCTTATAGTGCAGTGGCAGTGTCACCTGCCTCTGATCCAGGAGACGTAGATTCAAGTCCCAACTGCTCTAGAGGTGTGTCACAATATCTCTAAGCAGGTTGATTAGAAAATATAGAGTGACTTTTTCAAGATAAAATAATTATAGGGGCATTTGTATACAGCTTTAAAGTTTGCTCCGCAGTGTGAATTTGTTGTGGAAGACGCAGATTGTTGTGTTGTGAGTTGTCTATGTCTGTTTGAAACTTGTGTTGAATGCCTGAATGTAAAACGTATCTGGTGAGTAAATTCCTGAATGCTTAATTCCCCGATTCTGCTTTCAGTTTCCTGTTTCTGAACTGTCACAGTATAAAGTTAATTTCAAGACTCAAGATCTACTGAGCTACAAAGAACAAAATACATCATAGAATCCCTACAGTGTGGAAGCCATGCGGCCCAACAAATCCACATTAACTCTCCGAAGAGCATTCCAGCCAGACACTCGCCCCTTCCCTATCTCTCTAACCCTGTATTTCCCTTGGCTAACCCACCCAGCCTGCACACCCCTGAACACTATACAGGCAATTTAGCATGGCCAATCCACCTAACCTGCACATCTTTTGGACTGTGGGAGGAAACTGGAGCACCCAGAGGAAACCCAAGCAGACACAGGGAGAATAAACAAACTTGACACGGACTGTTGCCCGAAGCTGGAACTAAACCTGGTCCCTGGCATTGTGAGACAGCAATGCTAAACACTGAGCCACCATGCCACCATTTGGAAAATGTTTTCAATTCTCAGGAGTGGGTACCTCTTTATTCCACCTCAGTCCTTGTTTCATCATAATTCTGCAATAAATGCTAGTAGTCTGGCCAATTGGCAGCCTTTAGAGGTCAGCCATGCACCAACTACCTTTTTCCTACTGTTGATGAAGTAGCTTCTTTACCTTCTCCCAAGTTTCATCTGCTTAGTTGATTTTGACATTTCAAATTCGAGCTTTGATGCTGCATATGTATTCAATAAGTAGATTAAATTCCTTTCAATACACAGAAGCAGTGTATGTGCACTGGGTTAAAACCATTGCTACCCTTGTTTTGCTTAAAATAAGATCAGTTACAATATTAAACCACTACCACTTGAAAAACCATTTGAGTTGTATACTAATTTTAGTAAAATACCCTCTGCTCCCCCTTGTGAATTACATTTACCTTCACTGCCCAAGTGCATATTAAATGTAAATTTCTTAACTACTCTTACGAAAAAAAAATACACTCGACTTTTGGTGTTGCCATTTGATCATCAAACTCCACCCTAGATTAATGTTCATGTACATGTACTATATTGAGATTACATGGCTAACAAAAGTGTCTATGACTTTTAAAACTGATTAATGCAATTAGCCATGTGCCCAGGACACTAACTACAATATTACGAGTGGGAAGAGCTTTGGTATCCCCATAGTTTTGCCATTGAAGGCTTTTGCTGACAGTTTCTTCCCTTCTCTTGGCAATTTTTCACATCTGTTGGCTTCTAAAATAATATTGATATTTTGGATTTTGACTTGCATTTCATATGAAATGCATCTCTTTTCAATTGGAAAGTGGAGAGATTTCACTTTGTGGCAATTAGGTGTTTGATCTGGATGTTCTCCCTGGCAGGAGCTGACAAAACTTCGAGCGCAGCTGTCCAAGGAGAAACTAACTGATCAGAAGTATCAAGAACAACGTTGCAAGGCACAAGGCATCAAACGCTTTGATCCTGCCAAAGCTTTCAAACATTCGGCGAAGGAGAATATTGCTCCGACAACACCACTGAGAGAAGGTAAACAATTTGTTTGTGGGACTTTGTTCAATTGAACTGCTTTCCTGGATTTTGGGATATTCAAATAGCAGGGCGTTTTAAATACATAATTAGGCTTGAGGTTTGTACATTGCATTGGCATACAATGCTGGGTTTATTTGTCAATGTAGGAGGGGGGCATTGGCCATCAGGTTTTCATATCGTTGGACAAGGATGGGATGAGGCATAATGTAACCTTTTTATGGTGTTGAGACCAATCTCACTCCCACCTACTGCCTTCAACAGAAGAGGGACACAGTTGTGACAGAACAATACCCAAATAAAAGTGGAAATTTTAATCGCATGCGGCTTTCAGCAGGCTCTGATGATGGCCAGAGCCTATGCTGACCAATATGTTTCCCTGTTGCCTGAATGATCTTCCTTGGAGTATAAAACGTCTTTTGCCTCTTCCTATTGTGGTGATGGATATTTGCTGGGCTGCACAGGGTGTGGTAATACTGGTTAACAATTATCCACTCAATGTACTAGCAGGTTGGGTGTAAGCTGTCAAGTCAGTATGTTTAATAAGCAGTCTTCAACTGGTATTAAGGCAGAACTCATTCAGCTATGTTCACTAGTCCTTGCGTAAGTTATGTGTGCAGGAGAGAATGTTTTAGTAAGCTACCTAATATCTGGAAAAACTGCTTGAAATCAGTTGAGCTTGAGCTTCAAACTAATGCAATCAAAGAGGACCGACCGATTGACTGGGCCCAATCACTCGGGTAATTTACCCCTAGGATCAAGGATGTCTTGGAGAGGATGCAAAAAAAGGGGAGAAGAACCAGCAGGAGGTCGTTGTACACATTGAAACTAATGACATAAGAAAAGGATGAGATTCTGACGAGAGAATATAGGAAGTTAGGCAGGAATTTTAAAAAGTAGGTCCTTGATAGTAATAATATCTGGATTACTCCCAGTGCCACGAGCTAGTGAGGGTAGGAATAGATCAGATGAATGCGTGGCTGAGGAGCTAGTACAGGAAATAAGGATTCACATTTTTGGGGATCATTGGAATTTCTTCTGGGGTAGAAGTGACCTGTATAAGAAGGATGGATTGCACTTAAATTGGAAGGGGACTAATATACTGGAAGGGAGATTTGCTAGAGCTGCTTGGGAGGATTTAAACTAGTAAGGTTTAGGGGGTGCGGGGAGGGTGATAGAGCGCAGGGAGCTCATGAGGAAAGAGATCAGTCTGAAACTGATACAGTTGGGAAAAGCAGCAAGTGAAACTGTCAGGGCAGGCAGGAACAAACCAGAAAATGAGGTAGTACTGATAAATAAACTGCATTTATTTCAATGGAAGCGGCCAAACAGGTAAGGAAGATGAACTCGGCATTGTTGGGAACACGGGACTGGGATATCATAGCAATTACAGAGACATGTCTCAGGGATGGACAGGACTGGCAGCTTAATGTTCCAGGGTATAGATTCTATGGGAAGGATAGAGAGGGAACAAGAGAGGAGGGGGAGCAGTGTTTTTGATTACGGACAACATTATAGCTGCATTTAGGGAGGATGTTCCTGGGAACATGTCCAGTGACGTTATTTGGGTAGAACTAAGACATAAGAAACGGATGATCACCTTATTGGGATTGTACTATAGATTTCCTAATAGTCAATGGGAAATTGGGAATCAAATTTGTAAGAAGATCTCAGTTATCTGTAAAAATATTAGGGGATTTTAACTTTCCAAACATAGACTGGGAGTGCCAAAGTGGTAAGGGCTTGGATGAAGAGGAATTTAAGTGTGTATAAGAAAATTTTCTGAATCACTATGTGGATGTACCTACTCGAGAAGGTGCAAAACGTGACCTACAATTGGGAAATAAGGCAGGGCAAGTAACTGAGGTGTCAGTGGGGGGAGCACTTTGGGACAAGTGCCCATAATTCTATTAGTTTTAAAATAGTGATGGAAAAGGATAGACTGGATCTAAAAGTTAAAGTTCTAAATTGGAGAAAGGCCAATTTTGATCGTATTTGGCAAGAGCTTTCAAAAGTTGATTGGGGGCGGATGTTCACAGGCAAAGGGAATGGCTGGAAAATGGGAAGCTTTCAAAAATGAGACAACGAAGAGTCCAAAGACAGTATGTTCCTGTTCGGGTGAAGGGCAAGGCTGGTAGGTGTAGGGAATGCTAGATTACTAGAGAAATTGAGGTTTTGCTTAAGAATAAAAAGGAAGCATATGTCAGGGAAAGACAGCAGAGATTGACTGAATCCCTAGAACAGTATAAAGACAGTAGTAGTATACTTGAGAGGGAAATCAGGAGGGCAAAAAGGAGACATGAGATAGCTTTGGCAAATAGGGTTAAGTGAAATTCAAAGGGATTCCACAAATACATTAAAGACAAAAAGGTAACTAGGGAGAGAATAAGGCCCCTTAAAAATCAGCAAGGCTGCCTGTGTGTGGAGCCGCAGGAGATGGGTAAGATACTAAATGAGTATTTTGCATCAGTGTTTACTGTGGAGAAAGATATGGAAGATAGAGTTGGGGAAATAAGTAGCGATACCTTGAAAAATGACCATATTACAAAGGAGGAGGTTCTGGCTGGTTTAAGATGCATAAAGGTGGATAAATCCCTGGACCTGATCAGGTGTACCCTAGAACTCTGTGGGAGGCTAGGGAAATAATTGCTTGGCCCCTTGCTGAGGTATTTATATCATCAATAGGCATAAGTGAGTTGCCAGAAGGCTGGAGGTTGGCTAACGTGGTGCCACTATTTAGGAAACGTGGTAAGGAAAAGCCAGGGAATTATAGACTGGTGAGCCTGACATCTGTGGTGGGTAAATTATTGGCGGGAGTCTTGAGGGACAGGATTTACATTTATTTGGAAAGGTAAGGACTGATTAGGGATAGTCAGCATGGCTTAGTGCATGGGAAATCATGTCTCACTAACTTGATTGAGTTTTTTGAAGAAGTAACAAAGAGGATTGATCAGGGCAGAGCGGTGGAGGTGATCTATTTGGCCTTCAGTAAGGCTTTTGACAAGGTTCCTCATTCTAGACTGGTTAGCAAGGTTAGATCACGTGGAACAGAGGGATAACTAACTATTTGGATATTGAACTGGCTCGAAGATAGAAAGTAGAGGGTGGTGGTGGAGCGCTGCTTTTCAGACCGGAAGCCTGCGACCAGCAGTGTGCCAGAAGGATCGGTTTTGGGTCCACTGCTTTTCGTCCTTTATATAAATGATTTGGATGTGAACATAAGAGGTACGGTTAGTAAGTTTGCAGATGACACCAAAATTTGAGGTGAAGTGGATAGCAATGGAGGTTACCTCAGAGTACAATGGGATCTTGATCAGATGGGCCAATGGGCTGAGGAGTGGCAGTTGGAGTTTAATTTAGGTAAATGTGAGGCACTGCATTTTGGAAAGGCAAATCGGGGCAGGACTTATACATTTAATGGTAAGGTCCTGGGGAGTGTTGTTGAACAAAGAGACCTTGGAATGTAGGTTCATAGTTCCTTGAAAGTGGAGTCGCAGGTCGATAGCATGGTGAAGAAGGTATGTGGCGTGCTTGCCTTTATTAGCCAGTGCATTGAGTATAGGAGTTGGGAGATCATGTTGCAGCTGTACAGGACATTGGTTAGGCCACTATTGGAATACTGCGTGCAATTCTGGTCTCCCTGCTATAGGAAAGATGTTGTGAAACTTGAAAGCATTCAGAAAAGATTTACAAGGATGTTGCCAGGGTTGGAAGGTTTGAGCTACAGGGAGATGCTGAATAGACTGGGGCTATTTTCCCTGGAGCGTCAGAGGCTGAGGGGTGACCTTATAGTGTTTTATAAAATCATGAGGACATGGATAGGATCAATGGACAAGGTCTTTTCCATGAGGTGGGGCAGAGGGTAAAGGTTTTAAGATGAGAAGGGAAAGATTTAAAAGGGACCTGAGGCGCAACTTTTTCATGCAGAGGGTTGTGCGTGTATGGAATGAGCTGCCAGAAGAAGTAGTGGAGGCTGGTACAATTACAACATTTAAAAGGCATCTGGATGGGTATATGAATAGGAAGGGTTTCGAGGGATATAAGCCAAATGCTGGCAAATGGGACTATATTCATTTAGGATATATAGGCACGGATGAGTTGGACCAAAGGGTCTATTTCCATGCTCTATATCTCTCTTTGAAATATTGCGAAAGGCCATTTGATTGTTTTCTCGTCCATTCGGTCCCTTAAACCCTTCTCTACCCTGGTTCTTGACTCCCAAACAGGGAGACATCTTTTCTGCAACTACCTTGTCCAACCTTTAGGAATTTTGAATTTTGTAAGTTTCAATGAAATTTCTCTTTCTCCTTTAAAACTGTAGAGAATAGTCTCCTTGATCTCTCCTTGTAGGACAGTTCTGCCATCCCATGGATTAGATTTGTGAACCTCTACTTCATTGTCTGTCTGGCAAATGTATTTTCCTTAGGCAAATGGACCAACTTTGCGCACACTACTCCAAGTGTAGTGTCACTAAGGTGTGGTGCAATGCAATCTACACAAGACATCTTTATTCCTGTACTCAAAGCCTCTTGCAATAAAAGCTAACACATTTGCCTTACTAGTAGCTTGCTGCATCTGCATGCCAGCTTTTAATGATTCATAAACATGTGCATCCAGATCCTCTTAGCCATCAACATTTCCCAACCTCTTGTCATTTTAATAAATACTCAGCACCTCCATTCCTCCTACCAAAGTAGTTCACACTTATGCACATTGTATTCCATCTGCCATGTTCTTGCCCACTCAACCTGTCCCAATCCCCTTGAAACTTAACGGGAACTACAAAAAAGTTGTTCTGCATTTTCTTAGCAAAAACAGTTTTATTTACTGGTGCGTGTGCTGATTAACCACGTTCAGCTTTCTGATGTTAGCATAAGACTTGTTCTCATGTGCAGATAATTTCTTCCTTGTAGACTAAGGTCAGAGTGATAAGATTCAGCCAGGAGCACAGAAACATGTTTATAATCACTCTTGGGATATTGGTCTGAAGGACTGTAAGATTTGTACACAAATTATGAAATAATTGGTCACATAAATCTGCAGGACTTTTGATAATTAATATTTCTAGGATAAGAAAGAGTTGGATGAATTAAATGAGCAAATGATGGCAGAAACAAACCAGCTTTCTAATTAGTTACATACTCTAACCCTGCCTAATTATCTTCTGCCCCATTATAACTATCTGATTCTATGATATTCCAAACTGCTTATTCCACAGTTAATTCTATAAGTGGTATCTGAAAGTCTCTTCCATGTTGCGCAGTGCTGGTATTTGGGTTTCTCAGTGAGGATAAGCTAACTCGCTACGTGAGTCAATGCACGCAGGGTGGTAATTGGTCAGGTCATGTGCTAGGTCACTTGTCTTTGAGCAGGTAAGCATTAAGATGCTTGTTTCTCCTATAAACATTTGAATAAGCATTAATTTAATTTTCTAACCACATGATGGATTGCAATGCATTTTGAGTAAGTCTAAATTTCAGTTTAATTTCATTTCTAACCAAGTGATGGAGAAATTGAAGTTTGGTATAATGTCACCAATACATGTATTAATCTGAACTGTTTGTTATAATACTTCATAGTTCAATATTTGCTGTGACATTTCTGTATGACTCATATATTTGTTTTTTGTTTTGCAGGGAGCACAAATGTACTTTAAGCTATGCAGCTTTGATTTCAAGTCTCCATACATTGTGAGTGTGATGAGATTCTGGTAATGGTACCCTGGATCAAATGGCTTACATTCAACAAGAATGAGTTGAAGAGATTACTGACATTGTAAATCAGAAAGTAGATCATCGTAAACCAATGAAACAGTCTTGCTCCAGTGATTTTATGTTATTCTCCCCTGCCCCTTGAATTTTAATCTTGAATTTTAAAATATGGATTTATAAATAAATTCTTTAGATTAGGTAAATTATTTTTTATGGATGTTTATTTATCCTCATGAATCTATTCATTGGCATTGACTTGTAAATAATTCTGTTGGATTTTCTGGTGAGCTGGTAGTTGATATCTGGGAGAATCAACAGTTCAGGTTTCACAAACAATTTATGAAGAAAAAAATAACTTGCAAGCAGCTGGGCTGTTAACAAAAATAGCAGCTGATAAAGAAATCTATTATTGTAATTCTATACTGTTACTGTGGTGCAGCAACCACCCCCCGACCCCTCCCCCCCACCCCCAATGCCCTTTCCAGATTCAGGTAAAGTAAGAATTTTTTTTGCAATGGATAACATTCTTGCTAAGTAACACGAGTTCTATAGTTAAGTGAGAGACTAGTCATAATGTGAATTTTCGGATCATGCACATTGGATGGACATTCAACTTCATGTGAGGGAAATAAAGATTTGAAACTTCATCAGAATGAAGGCCCTTACCTTAACAGACTGCATTAAAGCAAGGACCATCAACTGAACCCATTGAATAACTGAATTTCCAAAGATTTGGGTAGCACTTTAAGTGACTGAACACTAAACTTCAAGCCATCTAGCTCAACGTCAAGCTTAGCTTATTGATAAAATATTTAGCTGTAGCAAATAATTAACATTAAGTATGAAGATACTGGTCCATGGTTTTAATTATTTTGCAAGATCTTTATTCTGGTGACATTCAATATTGCAATAAATTGTCAGCTTATTTTGTGGTGCATGTAGTGAGGTTGAGAGACTTGATGTGGTTCCCCAGCACTTAGTCTGAATTGTAATTCTGAGTCATTCCAAAGGCTTCCCAATTGTTTGGAAAGCAAAGTTGTCAATGGGTGCAGTTGATGATCCTCTTTTCAATGTAACTATTTTAATAGCAGTTAGAAGCTGACCTTGAGACATTGTACAATCTGACAAGAATAAGAAACTGGAGCCTTGTTGCCTAATACGGTTTTTCCTGCAGAACTTGCAGTTGATTATTTGAAATGATTGTATCTTTTGGTGTTTAACATTGTAAATATGTAACATTTTAAGTTACGTCCTTGGATAGTGAATTGTCAAAATGGCACTGATGTACAAAAAACATTGGAAATAAGAATAAAGCTGGACTCGTTCCACTTTGAGGGATCTCTGCTCTGTCCTGCTCTACCCTGGAGAGGATCAACATTAGTTTTTTTACCTAGATGAAATTCCTTCATGTAATAAACTCACAGTACTAAGCAGTAACTTGCTAATAATGACTATCTAAAGTTTTTAAAATTTACAAAAGCACTGAGTTTTAACATTATTTGTTTA